CATCATAAAACAGAATATTGCAAAAGTGAAAGGGATTCTCATGGTGCTTATAACTATACACATGACTGCTAAAACAATAAAACATACTCTTGTATTAATCTACAGACATCAGCCACTGGTAACAATAACATACAAAACTCATACCAATTTAGTAACACCTCTTCAATATAAACAAGAATACTAACAGTCCAACCAAGATTTATAGTGTTAAAGTTAAACATGATGACTTACTACTAGTGTTGTGGAGATTTAGCTGGTAACACCCAGTATATTAGGATTTTTTTCCAATATGTGCTTGTATTTTCAGGGGATTTTGACACAGTACAGAGTCCCTCAACACCTATCAAAGACCTTGATGACAGAACATGTAGAAGTGCTGGGTCAAAGTCACGAGGAAGAGGCAGAAAAAATAATCCTTCACCCCCTCCTGACAGCGATTTGGAGGTAAGAACTCATTTATTAGCGCATTAGAATGTCCCTGGTGAAGCTGCAGCTAGCTGCTCTGTTTGAATAGAGGTGTGTACAAAGGCTTGTCAAGCAACCGTCCCTGATTAGTTATTTCAGGCTGTATTTGGTGTATTCGCTCTCTGGCTCAAGAATAATGGCTAGCTTATTTTTTACTTGTAAACTGTTTATTTTTATAGACTGTTGTAGCCAACATTTAGGAAATTCCAGGTTATTTTCAGCTATGAAGACTCAGAACTGGCTATTTTCCCGGGGTCTATTGAATATGGATTTACACGTGCAATTGAGTAGTTTGGTGTTAAGGTTTAAAAGCTGTTCCAAAAATGCCAAAATGACTTGAGTGTTTTCACTTGAACATGGAATATTCTTTGAAAATGGCTCAGTTATTCATGGTATGCATTCACATTTTTATAATAAACTGAATGAAGGAATTGTACTTTCCGTATACTTATTTTTAGCCTATGTTCTTTTAAATCTCCAGTAAATAAATGTTATAGTTTAAGAAAATATTGCTAGAGTTTTCAATGAATATGTATGTATTACTTGGGACGTCTCCTATAAGTAGTGATAGGAAGTTTGAATGTACTGTAGAACATCACTTAAAAGAGACTCTTTAAATGAAAGTGATAGGAAGGCTACCATTTTTTACTACTTTTTTTTAAAATGTTGGTTTTTGGCTACAGTATTTTAGTCAATAACCTGTAACAACCATGCAACCTGTGAAGACAATGCAAAATCAGAACTCATGATCTGCATATTTGTTCCAGGTCAATGACTCAGTAGAAGCCAATAAACCAGCATGATTACCAAGCAGCTAACAGAAACAGAGACCAGCAATTGCAGCCTCTATATTTCTGTCATCTTGGTTTTACTCAGTTATCTCCTTAAATTTGAATATACTAATTTTTAACATAAATATTGTCTTGGCTTTTTTTTCATTGATAATTCATTGAAACCCAAGAGAAAGTCATTTGCAGCTCAGGTTATGCAGAGGTTAGCATAAAGTGCATTGAAGCTGCATTTATTAGGTTAAGCAAAATAATTTTTTTAAAAATTAAACTCCAGACATGTAAAATACAATAAATATAATAAAATATTTTTAGATTAATGAGAAAATACACAATTCCCTTTCAAACAGAGCTAGTTAACACATATGTTATGGTGATTACATAATATAAGCCCTTTATAATTGTAGAAAAACTAAAATGCTTTAGCTTGAACACAATGGACACACTATTTAATTTCGAGTTTTCTCATACAGTTTTTAAACTATTGTCGAGCGTCAGTTTTCTTTTCATTATTTATATACAAACTTTGCTTTAAAACATTTTTTTCCAAATAATGGAGTGTTACCATATCCCTATGGGTTAGATAAAGAGACAGAAGAGCACACCAGCTTGCATTGCAGCTCAATTTGTTGATAGAGGCATCAGACTAGCTGTCTCATAAGGGATTACTTTTTTTGTTGTGATTACTTTATTTCAGGTACCCAGTTATGTTCAAGAGAAGTTTCTATTTTTTTAAATGTCCATGTACTATTGAATGTTTAAAATAAACACAGGTTTACTTAGTTTTACTCAGTAAATCGGCCCCAAAGTCAGGGGTATAGAAGAAACCAAAATGGAATCAGAATTGGGTGACCACTTTTCAGTGAAAACATACACCCCTGCTGAAAATGGTATAGCTGTTTATTGTTTTATCTATATTGTGGAGAAGGATATTGTTAATTGTAAATGCTGGTTTTAAAAAGGTCATTAATACTACAAGACAGTTAGTCCATGAAGGTACTTAGGCACCGTTGAAAATTAATAAAACGCCTTCTAGAGTCACATTTGCAGAGCTGTCTTCTTTAAAGCTAAACTCAGCATTGTAATAGGAATACATGCTATAGGTGTTTTTGATAATGCAATCAAAGCTTACTTGAAAAAAATCCCTTCTATGTAGTGAGTACTGCCTTCTCTCTGCCTATCACTTTCAACAACTTCCTGGATTCTCAGTGTGCTTTGCATCTCTTTCGCTGCTGCTTGTTGTGATGCAATCTCCATTTCTCGAGATTACATATCCTATCATGCATTGCTTCTAGCAAGCAATAATAATGTTGCATTGTTTGTGTTTCCTGTGTTCAATGTATGAGAGGGGTAAAGAATTGAATTGTAGTTTGAATAGAATGCTTTGTGAGAATGATGACACAAGGAAGTGCATATTCACCGGGCTGAGTGAAATTGTGTCAGTGCATTGAGGAAATACATCGTATGGACATCTTCAATAAGTACGTTTACAAACTTCTAGATTGATATGGTTATTAAGAGTGGTATAGAACATATGGAAATTCATTATAGAAATACATATTTAGTTTTAGTTTTTGACATAGATACCCTTTAATACATAATTAAATGTATGCAGTGTAAATTCCTGAATTTGACTTGGTATTGGCCTCTAGCAGAGTGACAGGGAGGTGAGCTCATCAGTTTGCTGCTTCTACTTTTATTGTTTATCAAAAAGGCTGGGGGTGGGGAGGAGACCTGTTAGTGTTAAGTCTTAACTACAGTCGAAACAAATTAGATCTACTGCCTTGCCACACAGGACTGTCCTGTGTGAGAGAATTGTTTAATTCTAAGCACCTGACACAAATCCTTTGCCAGGTTAAACAGCTCCCATGTATGCATTCGATCTGTTTAGCTGTTTGCCCTTAAGTTCATGTTTATTGGAAACCTTGAAGGAAAGAAGTATGCTGATCGTTGTTATGATCCATCTGTGTCCAATACCTTCTGAGTCACTAACTTGGAAAAAGTATGCAAAAAGGAACTTTCAATTCACTTGTTGTACACTTTATCCAAGTCAGTGACTCAGAAGAGATCGTTGCCAAAGGGTTAACATGACAGTCTGGCATTTTAACAAGTTGTAGCCTATATATTTCTCTAATGACAGGTTATCTTTAATTGCAGCACTAAATACTGTAAACTCATATAGCACAAATGGACTATAAATGATGTGACCTAAAACAAATTGTATAGAGCTATTTAAAAAATATAAACATTACTATTATTTGTTATTAATATTATTATTATTACTATTGTTATTATTAATAATACAAATAATACAAATATTATTATTATTATAATACATATGTTAGTCTAGATTTGTCTATTGGCCACAGACGACTATAACATATTATTCATCTATTCCAAGCAGTGATCAGTATAACAAAAGAGAACTGTGCTGTAAACGGGAGCTCAGTGCTGTATCCCATACAGCTGTATGATCTTACTGTTAATGCACTTGGAAGGGAAGGGTTGCCAAAAGGCATAATATGACTTAGTAAACACAAAAAGCATGCAGGGAGCAGTTCCACACATTATCCATTAGAGAAAGCTATCCAAAATCATGCTTTGCCTGTTTCATGAATACATAAAACACGCATATCTACTTTTGGGAATCGGAAAGAAATTCAAAATTGCAAATGAGGATTTCAGGCAATGTGCAATACAGTATACTGTATATTTAAAAGAAATGTATATCTAAGCCATGATAATAAATACAATCTGTCTATATGTCCATGCCCTATCAACAAGCAAACTTCAAAGGACCTTAGAAAACGAATTGTAGGGATGGATAAAGCTGGCAAAATCTACAAAAGTATTTATTAAGCCCTGAGTGTTCATCAATCCAAAGTAAGCCTTGTGATTACAGACTGCTTTGTTTCCTCGGGGACTAGATAGCCTACTACCACAAAGGGAAAATTAACCATTAATTGTCACACAAGGAATCCCAGAAAGTATGTTTAATAATCTGAAACAGTTTTGCTTTAAAATTCTTTAGTTTTGAAATTCTTCCATATCCTGGGCAAACCAGATGAGCAGCTATAGGTAACATTTTCCACATACTCTTACCAAATACAAGCAATTGCTTGCATGCTATAATTTTAAGCAGACTTTGTTTTTCTATGATTTTGACTTAGATGATGGTTTACAGAGAGAGGAACAGTGTAATTAACTGTATTTCTGTACTTATAATTAGCTTCTTCCTCTCCAAACTAAAATATAAAATAAAGCTGGCGATTGTAAAGCCTGATGACACAAAGTCAAAATTTGCAGTGTCTGTCACATTGTTGGGTTTGGAGAGGGTTGGACAGGCATGTGGGTTAGACAGGCAGCACATAGGGTTCCTAAAAAATGTTTTGTAGGTTCAGAAGCTTATAGTCCCTGATTTAAACAGCAGTTTGACAAGATGGACATTTAAAAAATCAACAACTGTGTTCAAGGAAAGAGAAAGATGTTACAGGTGGTGGCAAATGTAACTACTTAAAGAGATTTTATTTTACTCTAATAGTTTTTAATATATTGATAAACATATTAGCCAAATTAGTGATTAAAGCGGACCTTTACCCACGTTCTGAGGAAGGGGGCTTGACCCCGGAAACGCGTCAACGCCGCCACACCACAGTGGCACACAGGCAGATTGCAGTCTCAACTGCTGTTTCTTCCAAAACATCCACACAAGCTGTTTTATGACCCTCCATTGTGAGTACCATTGCAATTTTATCTTTGTGTCTTTTAAAATAAAAAATATTCTGCACTAGGTTGGGCGCCCTTCTGTCCTTTTTTGTGGACCTTTACCTTCACTAAAACTCCCACCAGCATTCAGCTCTGCATGCAGATATGAAATTATCATACATTAAAACAGACACTTTTTGCTTTTACTTACACTCACTGTTTTTCCACTTCTCAGTTGAGTGAGGCACTGGTGATGTAGCGCTGGCCTCACAGATGCATCCTCGGGAGAATACATTACCAGTGCCTTCCTCAGAAACTCTCATCTCCACTCCAATATCTCACATTTTTTCCCAGGAGGCAGACACAGAGCTCTAGGAAGTAAAGGGAGATGGATTTGTCTGCCCTTATCAAAATGGCCACTGTGAGAAGAATTGGGATGGAAAGACAAATAAGGAAATCAAAGAATAAAAAGCCTGCAATTATCTATAAGTATCTGTTTGTGGATTGGAATTACCATGCATTGCATAAGGTGCCTTTGTTGTAGTTTTTAAGACAAGGGTGAAGTTCCTCTTTAACATTTTTTGTTGCATTATGTCATCTACAGTGAAGATTTGTATGTATGACTAGGGCACAGTACATAAAGACTCTGGCGGCATATACCTTCTGATATGTACTCTACCTGGCATTCAAATATTCTCCTGAAAAGGGTTAAGCCATGGGCATAAAACCACAGAACGCATTAAAAGTACACATTGAATAAGCCCGCAATATAGGGAATGTTCCTCAAAAAGCAATGATAGTTCCCACAGTACTCAGAGTTGGATGTCCTAAGCAAACTCAGAATTTCAGTTTTCCTTTTGGCAGTTTGGATTCCCAAAGGGCTTTTGGAGGAAATGAACTGCTCCTAGGGGCATTTCTGCCTTATATCCTTATATATGATTTATCGAACTTCTGGTTCATAAATTTCAAAGGTTGGCACATTTTGGAAAAGTTGAGATGAACTACAGTCATATCTAGTGCTAAGCTCAATATACCCTTTCTGCCTTTTATGATTTGTGCTATGCCATCTAAACTCCCCTTTCTGCCACCTGCATGTATCAGGCTAAAGAAAACTAGTTCAGCTTATTGTGTTTCACACCAAAACATGAACCAGATATTTAAAAGAGTTTTACCACTTCAAAGTAAAACTCTTGACCAGATGAAATGTAAATCTCAGCCAACAAATGTTATACATCCTGGCATTTCAAGTGACCAAAGTGGCCAAAGAGGCACACTTGAGGTAGTTATGTGCTAAAGCAAACACTATTTTTAACACTGTGTGCCCTAAAATAGTATTTGAACCCAACAGGGTCAATGTACTGGAGAAGAAGCATTCTTAGACAGCCAGTTAACCTAAACAATAAATTATCAAGGAATGCCCATCTTCTGTAGGCTTACACTTATAAAAGGAACAACATGTTTGCTTAGCAAAGTGCACCCTTAGCACATTAAATAAGTTGAGGCTATGTTCACTTTGGGCATTCAATCATTTGCAAAGAAAATAAAAAAAGGTGTATTTTTGTTTGCAAATGAGTGGATGTTTAAATGAACAGTCTCTACCAGTTTAGTAAATTGACTAGTATAGCTTTGATAGTAGTTATCATCATGAACATGTAATATTTATCAGTGTTATGGTACTGTATGTTTTGAACATTAAAGTGACAGTAAACTCAGGAGTTACATCTTGAAAATGCATTCAAGTGCCATAACTATTAACAAAAGTGTATCTTATTTGTGTATCACTCAGCTGTTGATCCTTAAATGATCTCTGATTTCATGTTGACACTGTCCTTGCTTCTGGAGTTTGGCAGTTTTTGTTCCCCATGGTCCCTGTGTGTGTTATAAAGTAGCCCCCACTCCAAACTCACTCCCGTGATAGACTACAATCTCACGTTTAGCTTTCTTATTTGTATTGAAATTATAGTCTATCTTGGGAGCGAGCTTGGAGTGGTGGCTACTTTACAACACAGACAGGGACCATGGGGAACAAAAGTAGCCACCCTACAGAAGGAAGGACAGTGTCAGCATGAATTCCGAGATGATTTGAGGATCTAAAGCTGAGTGATACACAAATAAGATACCGTACATTTTTGTTAATAGTTAAATTACTTAAATGCATTTTTAAGATTTAACTCCTGAGTTTAGTGTCGTAAGAGTCAATTTAAGAGTTAGGTTTAGGGGTTACTTTAATTATAAACCATAGCTCCAGCAAAAATATATTTAGTGGTTTCAAGAAGTGAAACAAAGACCACACACAGCATTAAAAACTTGACTAATGCTCTAAATCTGCTCACTAGATCAAAAGGTGGGAAGGAAAAGTGCAATAAAACCTTTTAACACTAAAATTTATGGTTCTGAAACCCCTCTGCCAAAATCCAGCCATGTAACCAATTTGGTACAAAACATCAAAGCAAAAAGCATAGAGACCTTGCTGCATTCACTCGCAAAAATTGTGTTTAATGATATATTACAAACAGAGATGGCAAACGCTGTACTGTTGCATTACACTGTGATGGGTTGGTTGGCCTAAACAGTATTTCTTTGTCACTCATTTACTTAAATCTGTCTTTTTATTTTCAGAGAGTATTCGTATGGGACCTGGATGAAACGATCATCATTTTTCACTCGTTACTCACTGGAACATTTGCACAGAAGTATGGCAAGGTGAGATTATATTTTATTTTAATACGATACGAAATAAAAAAAACTATGCCTACTTGTTGATCAAACACATCGGGCTGCTTTGTAGTAGTAAAAACATTTGCTTTTACTACTGGGGCTCAGCTTTTTCCTTTCTCAGAGACCTAGTAGGAATAAGGAGGAGATTTTTCCAAAGCCATAGGATATTTCTGATAGTTGTCTCAAAAACAGATTTTCCCAAATTAAGATGGCCTGTTACTTCCTGTTCCTCTGACAACGCAAACATTTTGAATCACTTTTTGTGCCAGAACAAATGTCACCAGAACCAATAGTGAGGTTGACCCACGTAGGAACCCTCCGATTTCCTTTTACTGTGCAACGAGAAAAAGAGAATATATCTGATTAATTACTATTTGGTTAATGCAACTTTACAACTTTTCACTGTTTTGATAAATGTAATGTTATGTGCTTTTTTTTGCTGACATCCAAGATATGCATACTGCATCAAAGAGTGCATTGTACATATGACAAGAGTGCAGATGGCTACAGTTATTTCCTTAACCCCTTAACACTGGCATATATGCGGTGCCACGGAAGTGGGGCTTTCCATGAAGGTGGTATGAGTTTGTGCTTGGGGCACGTTTGATCACGTGGCCCAAATGGAAACTGAGCTGTCACCACAAGCTCCTGGTCTTGGACTAATGATCGGGAGTTGGGGAGATCGGCTCTTGATCATGTGATCACTACTTTTTAGAACCCTCCCCTATCCCTTTCTTCCCTTTCTCTGCTTTCTCACAGGTTTAGGAATATCCGATCTTTCAAATCATATCATCTGTAATAACTATGCCTTAGGTAAAATATAATACAATTAATTGAGAAATGCTTAGTCTTTGGCCAACCAATATGACACACCTCGGTGATACCAGTTAAGAATCATGAGTTGAAGTGAATGTTTTCCCTCCTTGCAGCAACAGAACATTGACATTTTGTTTTGGGGGACCAACCTGAATCGTCTCTTCTTTTGAAATATCATTATATGCTGACTGGTAGACATGTGGTGTTATCGGCTGCAATGTTATCTTGATCTGATTCTATACTCTAAAGCGTATGTTAAGCCAGAAACTCATTGTCCAATTTTGGATACAATAAGGAAGAATTAGAACTTCCTGTCAACATGTCCTGCTGACAACAGTTTTAATAGACAGGAAAAGAGGAAAAATCTGCAACAGCAACACAATACAAAAATATTAAGCTGACATGGGTTGTAGCCTTCCCAACTCTACTAAAAAAAATACAGTGTTTTGCCTTAGTTGCCGTTGACTGCGCATACCCTTTAAGATTACAAAATGTGTACAAAAGAAGTGAACTTCTCTTTTTTATAGTTTTCTTTTTTTTTTCTCTATTAAATGTATTTCCTTTTTCAAAAATGGCTTTTTACTTGGAGCTACCTCTGAGTCCTACAAGCGTTTCTTCTACTTTCCATTGGGACATTCGTGTGCCAAAAGAAAGGCAAGCTAAATGGTATGCAAAAAGTGGTGTGCATTTTCCACCAGCCAGCTTGTTAGGTCTTCCAATGTAGTTGTATGAAAGCACTACCACTTTACAGTCTTATTAGGTGACTGGGGTCTAAGTAAATCTGCTTCTGCCCTAGGCATTTTTTTTCAACTGTGACCATTGAATTTATAAATTCAATATGTTCATCAGCTTTGGCAATCACACCTAATTTTTCCATGCTCATTTGCAAGCCTTTCTTAAATGTTATTGCTGCCCTGTGGGGAACATGCGTGGTTTGGCTAACTGTTTTATCTACCTAGAATTAGTGTTCTCTGGGAAATTGTTTTAGTCCCTGAAAGTTATCCCTGTGCCTATTAGAAAAAAACAGCTGTTGACATCATATGACTGTGAAAAACCTCTACAGGCATCGCAAACTTGATTTGTTTTTTAATCTAGGACAGCTCTGAGCTCCATCACTAAGTTATCCATGGTGTTTCTGGTCTACAGCTGAAACTTTTATTTTTGTGCTCTTGTAGGAACAACTGCACACACAACTTACATCCAATTGCTCTCTATGTAGGTACAAGGGCACAAAGTGTTTTTACATCTAATTGTTTTCCACCAATTCATAAAACCTATGTTTGGTAGAAAGGATTGATTCTGAAGACTTTTTTAGGTGCTTGGCTTTGCCACTAATGCTCTTAAGCCAGAGGTGGACAAATTATTATGAAATCCAGAACCTCACAATGTATCTACCAGCTGTGTTTTTTAGGGATCATTGGCTACCTGGCTCCTGGGATTTGTCCAACCCTATCTTAAACCACACACATACACATGCCTCCACAATAAAAACGATCATATTCCAGACCCTAATATGCTCAGCTGACAGATTCTGTGAGCACAGCAGTGTGTTTAGCTCTATGGGAGTCTCACTGACTCGAAATGATCAATAATCATGCTCCCAAGGGCATTTTGTGTGTGTCTTTATTGCTAGAGCCTCTTGCAGTTCAGAATAGAAATAGCTATTGCATTTGGACCGACAGTCTTTAAATTTAAATGTAAATCCTAATCAGTCACTTAATTTTCTTTTTAAATTTATTTTAAGTTGGTACTGTATTTAAACTGGTGTTTAATATTGATCTATCTATCTATCTATCTATCTATCTATCTATCTATCTATCTATCGATATAGATATGTTCCTAATTTTACAAACTAACATTTAATGCAAGACAAGGGATTCTCGTGGCTCTATGGGTAGCAAAAGAGACATCACAGCATTGGCTGCCTGCCTTGTAGCTCCCCTTTGTCTGACTGAAACTTAAGACTGAAAAGTAGGATAAGGCCTGAGTCATCTTCTACAAAATCTGTGTTTAAATGGGTTGAGTTTGGGAGCCTGTAAACAATGCCCCTTTTTCATCGGGCTGTAAACGGGACCTAATGTTTAATCTCTAGTCTCACAAGAGAATTCAAAATGTATGCATGTTAAAAAAAAAATCGTTTTCACCATGTTTAGTACATTTTGTATAAAACCACATTAAAAGAAAAAAAAGTTCAGTGCTGTTTGGAAACACCCTTAATACCCTGCATTCTCTTGTGGCTTGGACATTGTTGCAGTAATTGTTACCCTTTTGCTTTGCAGCTGTGGACATTATACTAGGGCAGTTATTTCAATGAAAACACCTACTCTGTTATTATTTTTGAGGAAACATATGGTTAATATAAGGAAAAAAAAGAAAAATATTATTTACTGTAAAGAATGCTATTATCAAAATTGTATTGCCATTTGCTATAACAAAATTATATTTCAGAATCAACTAAAGAGTTGAACATATAACGAAAATGAAAGAACTCAAATAAAATGCACTCTTCTTTGATAATTATGTCAATTTGCATTGTTTCCAATTGTACTATATTGCTTTATTCAGTATTTTTGAAGGTTGTTTTAGATGAAAGTAACAAAGCTTTTATACTATCTGACACCATGTTCTGTAATGAACTGAATATAGCTTATAGCAGCCACAAAGACTTGTCAGTATATCTATAGATGTGGGTCCTGGTAAGCCCTGGTTAGCCAGGATAAGAGGAAACACTGTATTTTGAATATAACCCCTACATTTTCTGTGTAGTACAAGATCACAGGGGACTATCCTAAATCCACTGTAGGAAGACCGTCCTTATGGTAACCCCCCAATGACACACCCACTACTTCCTTCACACCACCCTTGACATTAGACCCCTTGATGGCCAACCTGTCCCACATGTTCAAGGTAGATTCCGAATAATGATATCGTTGTTATAGTAACTTGAAAGGCTATTGGCAGCGTAGTTTATTTTATTTTCTCTGCTCCTACTCCGTGGCGCACCAAGCGTATCTCTTCTTTTCCTTTTCTGTTGAGGATGTTCAATATTAAACATTGAGTACTATTTTTTAGTTTAGTTGTTCGAACTGTTACTATGGATCCATACTAATGATGGAGAGGATTGCCTTGTATAATGCCTCCTCACTGCGTGACAAACATGCTTTTGTTCATATGATTGTATGGGGCACGTATACCTTTATTGTTATCACATCGCTCCTCTTGTAACTCTTTATTCATCTTGTATTGCATCCTTTGAAATACTAATAAAAATTACATGCTTAAAAAAAAAAAAAGATCACAGGGGATAGCACAGTCTCCAGCAACTGTCCATTTACTAGTTTGGAGAAAGGGAAAGAGAGATAGGAAGAGCAGGAAGTAGAGGAATGGCTTGTCTTGCTGTGCCTGTGTGTTTGTGGAGACTCCCACAGCTTACTAGGACCCTGCAAGGGAAAGGTGCCACCCTAAAACAGGATATCAGGGCCAGTGCTGAGGGGAGCAGCTGATAGATAAAATAGGTTAAAACCCCCTTGACTTTATTATCACTTTAAAGTTTGTGAATTGATAAGAAAATGATTGTGAAGTAAAATAACAATTGCAGATAAAATAACTCATGCAAGTTAGTGAATTGTCACCTAGAGCCACCAGTTCACGTTCCCCCTTTTTAAAACATTTAATGATCTGTGAGAAAATAGAATATTATATTACAATCATTGGATAGCTAACAAATTCTCAGGGCCAGTAAGACAATTATACTATGTGGCCCATGATGTTTAAATGAGACATATTGGGAGAGTAAAATGTTCTCTTCTCAATACTTAGACTGCAGGTATCACATGAGAGCTCTATTGATCGAAAGCTTAGCAATTTCCAAACTGCTGATCGCTCAGCTCACGGTCTTCTCCCTGCAGACAGTGGTGACTGTCAGTCACTGCTTCCTGCAGGGTTTTTCCCCCTTCTCTCTCTCTGTTCCTCCAGCGTTCATTGGAGGGACAAACAGGGGAGGGGCAGGCACAGATGTCTCTGGCTCTAGAGAGGCAGAGGCAGCTGTCAATCAGGCCGCAGGGTGGATCTTAAAGGCCGTGACACACTGCACTCGAAGCAGCGCGAAGCGGGGGCGCGCTGCCTTTGCGAGCAGTGTGTCATGTAATTTTCTGCTCGGCACCTCAGCT